TAAAATCTGTATTTTTCACCCTTTTCATATATATTAAAGGATTAATTAACACCAATAAATTGTGCAATTTGATATCCTAAATTTTATGATGAAATTTAGGGTTTGTCCTATAACATCAACTAATGCCAGATTTTAGGTCACTTCAGCTAAATAGCCAGAACATTTACCAATTAACAGATAATTGATACATCATTTATTCAAACACACTTGTTTGTCTTCACAGCAGGAAATTGTCTAATTACCACAATATTGTAGAAGACTGACCAGAAATGACCAGCTGTGGACTATGACTCTACTATGGTTTGCAAAATACTGCTACAAATAAATAGATTGTTATCAGAATCAGTGGAAAACTGTCTACTGACTTTTGAATTTACATTAAGAAGATCCCCCCTTTTTTTTTAAATTAATAGTCTTAATACAAGGCAATAGTAAAAGTTGAGTATTTGTGGTTAGTGTTTTATTTTCACACGAAAGAATATAACTAAGATATGGAAAATGGATATGAATAAGAAATGACTGATGTTTTTTAAAAGAAATAAATTTTGAAAATTTAAAAAGTTGATAAAAATTCTTTTCACAAAAAAAACCCTGACATTCCTAATATATACCTGTTTAACTATTTATTTTTTGTCTAGCCTGCCACTAGTCGACAAAGCTAGACATATGAAGCAATCCTTCACTCTAGCATCATCAACATTTAAGTTCATTTTTAAGTTAATTTCAATTTTTTTAAACGACAGAAGCTTTGTTAAATCTTCATGGAATTCTGCTTAACTGACAGACACTTCTTCTATACAAAGATCATGAAGATAGCATCCAGAGATTTTTATTCTTTTTTTCAATATTTCATTCATTTAATGGACCATGGAAAATGAATATAATACTTCAATGAATGGACTAATTAGATATAAGAAGATGTGGTATGAGTGCCAATGAGACAACTCTCCATCCAAGTCAAAATTTATAAAAGTAAACCATTATAGGTCACAGTACAGTCTTCAACACAGAGCCTTGGCTCACACCGAACAGTAAGCTATAAAGGGCCCCAAAAAATTACTAGTGTAAAACCATTCAAACGGTTTATTTTGCACTAACAAGGTATACATGTACAAAACTTTAATTTTTTCAAAATACTAAGGATTTTTTATTCCAGGAATAGATTACCGTAGCTGTATTTTGCAAAACCTCTATGGAATTTTGGGCCAATGCTCTTCAACTTCATAATTTATAAATTATTAAGTCTTTTATTAAACTTTTTGATTCAAGCATCACTGTTGAGTATTTTGTAGAGAGAACCCTATCTGGTGTACACAATTTTAAGCCTGGTATCAACAACGTGGTTTTTTAAACAGTCTGAGGGTTAAGCTTTTTTTAAGACTTCAATAACTTTGTCAAGCATTATGGAATAGTTGATATGTTGATTGGTGTTTAATGCCACTTCAGCACTATTGTGCTATTTTGTGGGCCTGGCTGTCAGTTTTTATTGGTGGAGGAAGCCGGAGAAAAACGACCTTCGGTTGGAAAACTAACAATCGGAATCCTAGTAAATTATGATTGAAGTTGAGGGCACTGCCTTGTGTAGGAATAGTTGACAGGCCAATGCAGTGGCGGATCCAGAACTTTTTGTAAAAGGGGCAGGGGGGCACTGACTGACCTAGCTGACTTAAGGGGTTGGGCTGCTCCAGTCATGCTTCAGTAATTCCCTATATAAGCAACCAAATTTTTCCCACCAAAGGGGGGGTCCCTTCCCCTGGATCCGCCTATGCAATGAGCCAATGATACAGTGTTAGAATACTTAAAACACTTGGGCACTAAAGCCCTTATTTTTGTTCAATAAACATTTAGATACAGCCTAGGGTTGAATTTAGCAAAATATCAATAATGTCCTCAAACCTTTAAGCAATATCAGGAAACTTTTAAAGAAGATTCTTCATACTCTATAAATACCTGACATGTTGACTAAAAATTATAATTTTTTTATGAATTCTTCCATAATTTACTTATCAATAATTATTTTGCAGTCAACCTTTAGGTATTAAAATGAAAGATCTTGAATAACTTTGTCAAACCATGGAAGTAATATTCCATGGTCAAACCTTCATGAAATTTAACAAAACTTATAAAAATAAGACAGAAGCTTCTTCTTAAATCAAGAGAAAGAACCCGGAGCAAATTTTGATTTTATTTTTAAAGTAAAGATATAAACATGTCTTGCAATAATTTAAACTCAAGAGATAAGGGTCATATTGCAAATGGGGATTTAGAGGGAGGTCACGCCTTATAGAGCTACCACTAAGCTAATAAGCAACATTTTAATTTAACAAATCACATTATAAATAGTTAACATGATTGATGAATAGTGCAAACATCCAAGTATGAGCAATATTTCATCTAAATCGTTTGTAATCCGCGGGCCATGGTGATCCTTTAAGCTAACTGCAAACTAGTACATGTATTATTTGCAACTTTTGATATAAAGATTTATAGTTTCTGCAGCGAATGAAAGAATGAACCTAAACAACTTCTTCTGATCAATTTAGAGCACAATGCGCAGAACAGTGATTTTTTTTTCATTCAGTAAAACAAGTAAATGTGTCCAAAGCACTCGCACGATTGTTTTCTGTGTTTTGGGATAATTTCATAGAAATATGATCCAATATCCACCTTACCTATAATTTTTAGTGCAAATCATTTCTCTGGCCTTTCATTAATACTGTGTAGCAATGTTTTTGGTTTTTCCGGAAATGTGTTAATTTAAGGGAAACTTTCAGCAGAGACCACCCCTTCTGTTTTTCATTTTTTTTTTTTAATACTGTTTTATTTTTTATTTTTTTTTCATAATTTTATAAAATTGGTTAATTTGAATTTGAATTTAAATTTTGATTTTCTGATTTTCTAACTATTTCAATAAATGTTGAATTAAATGTTTAATGGTAAGAATTTTGTCTTATAAGAATATTTGTTTACATATGTGGTTTTAATGATGATGGTCATTAATTAGTTCTGCACAGTGAGAAATTTTGTAGGAACTGTGATGTTCAAACAAACTATTTTATAGCTCATTTCACTAATTCACCAATGTTCTATTTCTTTTGAATCCTATGGATAGGTTTTAATGGGATATAGCACCTATTGTAGAATCTATTTTAATAAGATGCCAGTATTTCCTGAATACTTTTTGAAGTTTTTCTGCTTGAGAATGATAATATGTAATGAATGATACATTACATCTATTTTCAACTTCCTTCTTTTTCTTTATTTTATCTTGTCTGTCTTGGAATTTGACTTTTGATAGAATTTATTTTACCAATTTCAGTTAATAAAATAGTCTTTTTTGCTGGTTTGTGTTTCTAGGTAAATGAATAACTTTGCCTTTAATATAGGATTTAAAGTTCAAAATAGGGTGGTTTGAGTTTTTAAGAAGATATTAGAATTTTTCTGTATTTTTTTAATAGAATTTCATATCTAAAACACCAGTATGTTCATGTTTTTGTCTTTGAAGATTTCAAGGTCTAGAAATTTTATGGAATGCTTATTGCATTCATAAGTGAACTTTAGCAGGTAGTGTTGTTGAATAACTTGCACTTTCAAACAGGAAATCCAATTTCAATAAGTTGTAGGGATGAGCTGGTCACCATGGTCACTATTTCAAGCTTCATTACATATCTCATGATAAAATCTGGAAATTTAGATGAAGGTCAAGTTTTAAACTTGCCTGTTTTAATCACAAGTGTCTGAATTAGATATCAGAATCTTTTGATGTTTGTAAATGTTTCCAATAGTGGTCAAATCAATTATCTCTTAATCAATTTTCCCATGCATTCTTACCAGCTATTAATTTGCTGTTTGTGCTTTTAATCCAATTATTTTGACATTTTCACCTAATTTATAAATAAACATTATAAAATATGTAACAATAAAACACTACATTACTATCCTAAAAAGAAATTCTGATGTGTTTAGAGGAAATGGCAATGTAACTTTCATCTGTTTAATATACTATAGGTCTATTATTTGTTCATAAATACATTTATATGCTTTTATGACAGATATACATTTTTGATAAGTAAAAATATGATATGAAAAGGGTGGGGTATGTGCTGGATACAAATTCTCCTGGAAATAGTGGTGTACGTCATAAATACAAGGGTAAACAAACAAAAATGTAGTTTTTAGTCAGGAATATGTTTGCGCTTAACTTTTAAATACACTTCTCTTGGTTATGGCTGCATATACATGTATTACTAAGTAAATTCCAGGATTTTTTTGCATATTTACACAGAAACAGATAAATTCCAGACAAAAAATTAAAAACTGGTGTCTTCCATAGGTATTGCTTCTGACCTGTACACTCAAATTTCCAGACATATTGACAGCATCATGAAAAAAATTCCAGGATTTTTAAGTAGTATTATAATTTGAAATGCTGGAATTCCAGAAAATTCTGGCAATGGTGAAAAATATTTCCATGGATTTTTTTTTTCACAACTGATGTCTTCCATAGGGGGGGGATGGTTTATTTCTGGAATAGCCCATTATACTCATTACTCATTATTTGTTAGAATGCAACGAAAGAGTTCATGGAAAGGTCAATTCTAAATAATTTATTCTTAAGTTATTTTGCTATCTGTCTTGTTGCGAGATACGTCTGCTGTTCATAATCGTGATTATTGTTATGATTATACCCTGCAAGTTTATGCATATTGTTCAAATGTGAAAGTGCAGCTGTTTGGATGTTAGCGATTAATAAAGGAAAACTCTAGAGAATATAGAACATATGTCTAAATACCATACACAATTACAATGGATTTATTTATTCTGAGTGTGTTATAGAACAGAAAAATATAACATAAATTTAAAACAAGAATTATAAATAAATATTGAATTAAAGCCTATAATATTTAAAAAGCATGTTTTCTTGCAGCATAGATTTTTTTGAAGGAATAATTTTTTTCTGGTTATTAGATGTTTAATGTTTTCCGAGTACACTTATTACTTCCGGCCAGTTTGTCAGTTAAAAACACAATCTCGAGAAAGGCATAATTGTTGTGTTTACATATTTATTTTGCTGTGATGGCCTTTGTTTCCATCATATAGACTAACAGAATAAGCAGGAAATATGAGATTTCAAGTGAAATTAGTTTTGGTAATTTTATTTTTTGGATTAACATGTTTACATGAAGTCGTTGATGCAGCTTCAGCCCCACCAAAGACACTGGCACCGCAACCAAAAGCTGGCCAGGCGGATAAAGATGAAATAGAAGATATTGAACTTCTTTTGAAAAACAGGTAACTTGCTAATCTGAAAGATAAGTTTCTTGGGAAGACAAATATGGTTTTTTTTCAGTTCCTACCTTTTCATTTTTACAGAACATGCAGAATGAAGTTGTAGACGTATAAGGCACCGGTTACAGGTGAGGTAGTTGGTAATTATTTTCCCAAATAGAGTTAATATGTCTAGATTTAGGGATAATTCAGAGGGCAGCCAAATTAACAAATCATTCTGGACACAGAATCCCAAAAAGATTACATAAATTAATACTGTCATAAACATTTAAAACAATACTACATGTACATTGTAACACTAAATTCCAGTACCTTTGATAGAATGAGTGAAGAAGGTAGATCTAAGGCTAATCTGCCTAAATGATGTTAGTAAACAATCAACTCTGACTCTAGCTGTGAAACTGTAACTCTTATATACATGCAGTGTATGGTCCTTATGATATTTATTTTGACAATTTGCGGATCATAAATGGCATAATTGACTTATTGTCAAAACATATATGTACATGTATCATAAGGACCATAAAAGTTATGGTTCCGCAGCTACTCTGACTCTTGCTGTGACGTACATATAATAACATAAGAATTGTGACAGTTGAAATGTGCAGGGAAATGCAAAAATGTGAAAGTTGTCTACAGCCCTTCCTAGAAACTCATTTCTGGAATCAGTTTTACTCTAAAATTATAACTTGAAGCAGGTTATTTTCCTTGTCTGGCAGTAGAATTCGGACTGCTTCTCTGCTATGAAGCTAAATGAAAAGATTTATAACAATTAGCAGTTTTTAATCCCTGTTGATTAAAAGATAATATTTGGTTTATAAAATATATAAATTTAGAATTTATTAGTCCCCTACCGACGAAGTCGAAGGGGACTTTAGGTTTGCACTCCGTCCGTCTGTCTGTCCATCTGTCAGTCCGGCAAATCAGTTTTCCAGACTTTTTTTCTTCATGCTTGAAGATATTGATTTGATATTTGGTGTATTGTTTTATCATGACAAGTTACAGGTCATGTTCAATTTTCACGATTTTAGCTTTTCTCCTTGTTCAGTTAAAGCCCTTTCTCTAGAATTAAATTTTTGACAAAATACTTATTAATTACTAGATTTCTGTTCAAAGGGAAATAACTCAATTTTTAAAAGATATTTAAAAGATATTTTTATTAATGATAAATGACATTTTGGATTTGTTCCCTTTTCTTTGGTAAATTGTTTGAAGAATTTAGTGGTAGGTTTGTTTGTTTTTGATTCTGTATACAAACTAATTTTCTGAATGCTATATATTAAAAATTTTTTTGGATGAAGTGAACTCTTTTATTTAGATAATAATCTATTTTTGATAAAGGATATATTTCATTTAAGAAATAATTCATGGAAGCCACAGATTTGTTGAAAATTTACACATGGCCTCAGCCATGATATCCAAATTTATCCTGAGTGTTAGAGAGGGATAAAATTAACGAATATCATCGCCCAGGCCAAGTGTAAATTCACTAAAATAATCAGTTTTCCACACTTTTTTTTGTCATTCTTGAAGATATTTATTTGATAATTAGTATATACATGTACATTTGTAGTTTTATTATGACAAGTTACAGATCAAGTTCGAATTTTGTTCCGGTCTGATGATTTTGTGCAGAGTTATGGTCTTTGGACATAAAAAAATCACTTGAATAATCAGTTTTCAACAGTTTTTTTCGTCATGATTGAAAATATTGACTTGATATTTTTATGTAGTTAGATACACCATGACAAGATATAGATCAAGTTAGAATTTCATTCCATTACAATGAATTTTTAACCGGTAGGGGACTATGTATTGCCATGCAATACTCTCAGAATGCTTGTTAATGGTATTTTGTTTTCTAACATACTTCTAAAATTGTCAAGCTGGAAATGTTTGTATGTTAAAGAAACACATTGTTTTTTTATCATAATTACTTCTCACTATTGCTGTGCACTGCAGCAAACCATTACATTTTGTACCTACAATGTATATCAGTATACTTCTCAAGAAGGTAAATAACTCATATTTAATTTTAATTTAAAAAGTCAGATTTGGGCTTTCAGAAGTGAGTTTCAGAAAAGTTCTATACACAGTCACATTGCTGTAAGTTAATTAGTTTATGTGATTCAACTAACATGACTAAGGCTTTGAGTTAATATTGTTGTACATGTTGTACATGTACATACCGATATGTCTGCATGATGATGGAATCAAGAGACTTTTATGTTTTCAGCATTTAACATGTTTAATCAGGATAATATATCTTTTGAATGTCATGTACGTACATGCAACCAATGTATACATGTACATGTATATTTAAATTTCATAAACAAATGATGATTGTCATGATTGTACTGAAATTTGAACATTGGTCTAACTCTTGATGGTGAATAACACCCCTGTATGCAAAGGCAAACAGTTAGCTCATTTGATGCACCTGTTGGATTTACATATATGTATCAATGCATGATAAGCATGATCTACAATTATGTTGTGTTCATAAATAATCCTGATACATTTTCCTTGTAATTACTGACATTCTAATTCAAAATATCTGTCTTTGGCAGGTCACTTAAGAGGCGGATTTAGGTGCCCCCCCCCCCTATTGTGGGAAAAATTTGGTTGATTATTTAAGGAATCACTGGAGCGGGCCCCCTCTTATGGCAAGCCCCCCCCTTATGAAATTTCTGGATCCGCCATTGCACTTTGAGGGTAAAAAATTGCCACCTTAGCTATAGCCTGAAATGAGATCTAGATCTATTGTTTAAGATCTAGACCAGGCACAATTTGTTTAATGTAGAACTACACTGACACATTAAACATAATATGAAGAAGGTGCTGCTAGATGAGCTCTGGAAGGTTATATTGGTTAAGCATTTCATTCTAATCGTCTTATTGCATGGAGAGGATGCCATACATGTATATATACTTTTTTGATAATTCGATATTCAAATTTGCTGAAAATTGTAAGTTCCTTAAATTGATGATGTTTTTCTAAAAATCCTGAAAAAAAGCAAAAACTAAAAAAATATGTTTTCTGCCACGTTGTTTGATATAGACGCAAATCAACCTTTCTACCATTCAAGTAAAGAATAAAGAATGATCATACAACTGATTATGGTTAGAGCCTAGAGGCCTTGACAAACAACAGTGGCCATGTGCAATACTACTAGAATCCCCAAAGAATAATTTAGAATCTTGTTTTTATTTTTCCTTTTTCTTAGACCAGGAAAGCCATTCATGACAGAAAAAAAACTAATGTTGTTATAAAAAAAAAGTGATAGCTGATGAATGGACAAGTGTGATGGCTGATTGATTGTTTGCCTGACACCAAGGGACGTATGTAAATGGTCTTGCGGAAATATAGCATACAATGTCCGCTTTGTGCAGAATGCAGTAAAACAAGAAATATGACTGCTGTTATTGAGTCTAACAAAACTTTCATGCCAAATAACGAAATATATTCACTGTCACAATATGATGCTGTCACATAAACAGATGCATAAGATTAGCCTAAGCAACTAATGTTTCTGGTCACCGAATGGACCCTCTTGTCTGTTTAGGCTAAATGTATAAGATTAAGCTTTTAAATGATTTAGATTATCAATAAATTAAATGTTTCTGTTGTGAAATAAAAGTATGTGTATGAGATACCAATTTCAGTCCTTGACTTGTATTTTAAGTTTTTTTTATGAAACAACATGAATTGCTGTTATTTCATAGAACATTTCACAGAAAATATGAAAACTTAAAAAAATAACAAATGACATGACCAACATCTAAAGTTAATTTAAACTTAAAGGGAAGGAAAACAACAAATGACCAACATTTAAAGAAAATTATATAACAAAAAGGGTATGACAATAATGAGACATCTCTTTTCATTGTTACAAAGAAATTATGAAGGTTTTTGTCGAGCCTGCGACTTTTGTCGCAGAAAGCTCGACATAGGGATAGTGATCCGGCGGCGGCGGCGGCGGCGGCGGCGGCGGCTACGGCGGCGGCGGCGTTAGCTAACTTCTTAAAAGCTTTATATTTTAGAAGGTGGAAGGTCTGGATGCTTCATACTTTGTATATGGATGCCTCATGTTACGAAGTTTCCGTCAGTCACATGTCCAATGTCCTTGACCTCATTTTCATGGTTCAGTGACTACTTGAAAAAAAAGTTAAGATTTTTTGTAATGTTAGATTCTCTCTTATTATAAGTAATAGGATAACTATATTTGGTATGTGCGTACCTTGCAAGGTCCTCATGCCCGTCAGACAGTTTTCACTTGACCTCGACCTCATTTCATGGATCAGTGAACAAGGTTAAGTTTTGGTGGTCAAGTCCATATCTCAGATACTATAAGCAATAGGTCTAGTATATTCCGCGTATGGAAGGACTGTAAGGTGTACATGTCCAACTGGCAGGTGTCATCCGACCTTGACCTCATTTTCATGGTTCAGTGGTTATAGTTAAGTTTTTGTGTTTTGGTCTGTTTTTCTTATACTGTATGCCATAGGTCTACTATATTTGGTGTATGGAATGATTGTAAGGTGTACATGTCTAGCGGGCAGGTGTCATCTGACCTTGACCTCATTTTCATGGTTCAGTGGTCAAAGTTAAGTTTTTGAGTTTTGGTCTTTTTTTCTAGTACTATATGCAATAGTTCAACTATATTTGGTGTATGGAAATATTTTATGATCTATTTGGCAGTCACACAGGTTTTATTTGACCTTGACCTCATTTTCAAGGTTCATTGCTCAGTGTTAAGTTTTTGTGTTTTGGTCTGTTTTTCTTAAACTATAAGCAATAGGTCAATTATATTTGTTGTATGGAAGAATTGGTAGCTGTACATGCCTGCCTAGCATGGTTCATCTGACCTTGACCTCATTTTCATGGTTCATTGGTCAATGTTTAGTTTTGGTGGTCAAGTCCATATCTCAGATACTATAAGCAATAGGTCTAGTATATTCGGTGTATGGAAGGACTGTAAGGTGTACATGTCCAACTGGCA